CCCGCTTGTACAGCCATATTAGAATGATATGGCGTACTTGTACAGCCAGGTTAGATGGATATGGCCCACTTGTACAACCAGGTTAGAAGGATATGACCCACCTGTACAAGCAGGTTAGAATGATATGGCCCACTTGTACAGCCAGGTTAGAATGATATGTCCCACTTGTACAGTCATATAAGAATGATATGGCCTACTTGTACAGCCAGGTTATAATGATATGGCCTACTTGTACAGCCAGGTTATAATGATACTGCCAACTTGTACAGTCAGATTAGAATGATATGGCCCACTTGCACAGTGAGATTAGAATGATATGGCCCACTTGTACAGCCAGGTTATAATGATACTGCCAAATTGTACTGCCAGGTTAGAATGATATGGCCCACTTGTACCGCCAGGTTAGAATGATATGGCCTACTTGTACAGCCAGGTTATAATGATACTGCTAACTTGTACAGTCAGGTTAGAATGATATGGCCCACTTGTACAGTCAGGTTAGAATGATATGACCTTGCTTGTACAGCAAGGTTAGATTAATATATGGCCCACTTGTACAGTCAGGTTAGAATGATACTGCCAACTTGTACAGTCAGGTTATAATGATATGACCTTGCTTGTACAGCAAGGTTAGATTAATATATGGCCCGCTTGTACAGTCAAGTTAGAATGATAATGCCCTGCTTGTACAGCCATATTAGATTGATATGGCCCACTTCAAATGATATGGCTCTCTTTTACAACTAGGCTAGAAGGATATGACCCACCTGTACAGCCAGGTTTGAATGATATGGCTCGCTTGTACAGCCAGGTTAGAATGATATGGCCTACTTGTACAGCAAGGTTAGAATGATATGGCCCACTTGTACAGCCCGTTTACAATGATATGGCCCACTTGTACAGCCAGGTTGGAATGATATGGCCCACTTGTACAGCCAGGTTATAATGATATGGCCCACTTGTACAGCCAGGTTATAATGATACTGCCAACTTGTACTGTCAGGTTAGAATGATATGGCCCGCTTGTACAGCCAGGTTAGAATGATGCTTGCACAGCCAGGTTAGAATGACATGGCCCACTTGTACAGCCAGGTTAGAATGACACTGCCCACTTGTACAGCCAGGTTAGAATGATGCTTGCACAGCCAGGTTAGAATGACATGGCCCACTTGTACAGCCAGGTTAGAATGACACTGCCCACTTGTACAGCCAGGTTAGAATGATATGGCCCACTTGTACGACCAGGTTAGAATGATATGACCCGCTTGCACAGCCAGGTTAGAATGATATTGCCCACTTGTTCAACCAGGTTAGATTGATATGGCCCACTTGTACAACCAGGCTAGAAGGATATGACCCACCTGTACAGCCAGGTTAGAATGATATGGCCGCTTGTACAGCCAGGTTAAAATGATATGGCCTACTTGTACAGCAAGGTTAGAATGATATGGCCCGCTTGTACATCCCGGTTAGAATGATATTGCCCACTTTTGCAACCAGGTTAGAATGATATGGCCCGCTTGTACGACCAGGTTAGAATGATATGGCCTGCTTGTACAATCAGATTAGAATGATACGGCCAACTTGTACGACCAGGTTAGAATGATATGACCTGCTTGCACAGCCAGGTTAGAATGATATTGCCCACTTGTTCAACCAGGTTAGATTGATATGGCCCACTTGTACTGTCAGGTTCAAATGGTATGGCCCACTTGTACAACCAGGCTAGAAGGATATGACCCACCTGTACAGCCAGGTTAGAATGATATGGCCGCTTGTACAGCCAGGTTAAAATGATATGGCCTACTTGTACAGCAAGGTTAGAATGATATCGCCCACTTGTACAGCCCGGTTAGAATGATATTGCCCACTTGTACAGCCATGTTAGAATGATATGGCCCACTTGTAAAGCCAGGTTAGAATGATATGACCCATTTGTACAGCCAGGTTAGAATGATACTGCCAACTTGTACAGTCAGGTTACAATGATATGGCCCACTTGTACAGCCAGGTTAGAATAACATGGTCAACTTGTACAGCCAGGTTAGAATGATATGGCCCACTTGTACAGCCAGGTTAGAATGATATGGCCCACTTGCACAGCCAGGTACGAATAATATGGCCCACTTGTACAGCCAGGTTAGAATGATATGACCACTTGTACAGTCGTTAGAATGATATGGCCCTGCTTGTACAGCCAGGTTATAATGATATGGCCTACTTGTACAGCCAGGTTATAATGATACTGCCAACTTGTACAGTCAGGTTAGAATGATATGGCCCACTTGTACAGTCAGGTTAGAATTATATGACCTTGCTTGTACAGCAAGGTTAGATTAATATATGGCCCGCTTGTACAGTCAGGTTAGAATGATAATGCCCTGCTTGTACAGCCATATTAGATTGATATAGCCCACTTCAAATGATATGGCCCACTTGTACAACCAGGTTAGATTGATATTGTCCACTTGTACAGTCAGGTTAGAATGATATGGCCCACTTGTACTGCCATGTTAGAATGATATGGCTCACTTGTACAGTCAAGTTAGAACGAGATGGCCCACTTGTACAGTCTGGTTAGAATGATATGGCCCACTTGTACAACCAGATTTTAGTAGTATTTTATTTCCTTGATAATTTTGTTTTGATTTCTTTCTTTAGAACTATACTTCGTCATAATTGCGGTTAGCAACCGTGTCGTACAACTCGACACGCTTAAGGTAGTTTTGTGCTCGTTTTCTGTAACTGGTAGAGGGCGCTATTTACCACTGATACTCCAAACATTCTGGCCGTCGGCTCTCTTCCGTGCTCCAAACATACGCGAAGATCGAACAAGATGATAAAACACCCACTGAAATATGTGTATGTTTACATTTATTTTCGTAAGATTACG